AACGCTTTCTCTATATCAGACGTAAATGCAATTCGATGAAGTCGAAAATTTATTAAAACTTTCAAAAGTTTAGGAAGAAGATTTGGTCCTTGTAGTAAATTATCATTTAGAGATTCATGATTTTTTTCCTTTGAAGAAGCATCATAAACAATGCGAAGTTTCGTAGATTTAGAATTATGATCTTCACGGATGACAGCATGGTGAGGTATGTAGTAAGTTCGTCTCCCAGGATGGAAGTACCAAAATGAACGGCTTTTTCTATGATTTTTCTTCCTTAAACTGATAGTAATCAATCACTTCTTTATATTGCGCATAAAAGTTCAAAGTTCAAGTTTGATTTTAAGTTGTTTGATCAAATTTAAGAATCGTCTTTCAGCATTCTTAAAATTGTCTCTTAAAGTCACATTCTGATCTTTCCATGGAAGTCTAACTTCGTATCTATCACCCTTTTGTGTAATCGAGTTGTTAAATATTTGCATTCATTTTGTTCTTTGTCAGAAATATTTTTAATTCCTATTGATTCAATATCCCAAAACGATTCGGCGCTTTTTAGAAGTTTCTCTTCTACACTTACGTTTAAACACGCATCATGGATTTGAAAGTCTGATGAAAGAAATTTGCCTTGTTTACACCACCCAAACAAGGTTTTCATAGCTATGGCATTTCTGTTTATCCTTTTTATTTCTTCGCTTGCTATTTTCCACATAATGTCCGCGCCGATTAAAACGGAAATATGATTCATTCCATCGGCGCCACCAGCAGTCTGTCAAAGTGATGCCGAATGCTTGGAGGTTGGATTTGATTTCTACATCTGGTACTCGTATATCGGCATTTGTTATGACTGGTACTTCAATGACTTCGAGATTTATGGATTTTTCAGGGTCATTAATATTCCGGAGCGTAAGTTCAACTTTCTTTCGATGCCAATGTTTCCCATTCTTTTCACCGAAGGTATGCAGATTTAAAACAGTTTCTCCTTTCACTGGTAATTGTAATTTTCTTGATAAATCTTCTCGAATTGCAGAGATTTGGCTACCGCCGTCAAGAAGACACCTCACAATACAATTCTTATTTCTGCCCTCAGCCACAGCATACACCGTTTGAAGCATAATATTAGATCCAGTTTTGGCAGAAGAATTTTGAACAATTTCCGCCGATGTTTCGGTTTCCTTATTTTTTGCACTGGAGACAGCTGATGCGGGATTCACACACACACTTTCATGATGTTTACCACGGCACTTTTTGCAGGAAAACTGTGTGTTCTTACAGTTGACAGCTAAATGTTTACATCCAAAACACAGAAAACATTTTCCTGTACATTTCAAAATGTTGCGTTTCTCTTCAGAGTTCACCTCAGTACATTTATATTTCGTATGGTCTTCTTTATCACAAAATATACATTTGTATCCAATTGTTGATAAAGCTGAAGCAGTCGGAACTTTTCGGTTTATAATTCGGAATAAACTTTCGTGCGTTGTTCATTTTGACGAAATGTATGGTTTCTGATTCGTTTTCGCAGAGTTCATTAAACTTGCAGCTTCTCGACAGTTAACTTCCTTTTTTAAGAATTCTATAAGTTCCTTTATATCAAATCCTGCTTCCATATTTTCGACTTCGATTAAATTCCAAATTTAATTCCTCTGGAAATTTCTGCAAAATGATAGGACAGAGAATATTTCCATAACTTCCAGAAGTAACGTTTAACGATTCTAAACTTCGAATGTTGACTTCGCATTCATCGTACAGCTTACGCAGTGCTTTAACATTTGAAATGTTTCCCACTGGTTCAAGGGATAATAATTTATTCATATGGGAGAGGATAACAACATATTGTCTTCCAAAACGTTCTTTCAATATTTCTACTGCGGAATCATAATTCTGGTCACTTAAAGTGAAACTGGAAATGGCAGCTAAAGCATTACCTCCAAGTAAGGATTTTAGGTACGTAAATTTTTCAGTTTTTCTCAAATCTTGATGATTATGAATTGTATTTTCGAATTGGTTCCAAAAGTCTAACCATTTACACGAATCTCCGTAATAAGTTCCAATTTGCAGACGTGGCAACTTCACTGTTTTCGCTTCAACTGGAAGTGCAACATTAGCCGTTTCGTTCTGATGAACTGTTCTAGAAGATTCCGAATTTTTCTTCAAAAATCGTTGTATTCTTCCTCTCCATATAACAGTTTTATCCTGGTATTCTTGACTTAAGGTAACTTCATTTTCAATCTCCTCCAAAGTTACTTTCGTTTCTATGTCTGAATCTAAACTTTTCAGTTCATTGATTTTCTCAATTAACTGTTCATATGAATCCTCGATTATCTCAATTTTCTCATTTAGCGGAATATTATTTGCTAAATTCGATTCGACTTTGGTTATCAGTTTTGTAGTTAATTGTCTAACAACCGATCGTTTCTTTTTCAAATGTTCAAGAACGCCCTCCATTTTCGAAATATTCAGTCTGTCGATTTTCTGGTTCGTAATAATCCCGGTTTGCAGGCACCATAAACAAAATATGTGTAAATCTCTAATAAACAGAGGAGCATTATACCACACAACGTTTATTCACGAACACCAAAGACGAACAGATACATATACATAATTATGACATCACAGTTTCTTTTTACAAACAAATACTACCGCCATCTATTGGCAATCTAAGGATAAATAATCCTAAACTTGACAGTATGCCAAGCAAAAGGGTAGATACTGAGCCAAATTATTGATGGTAGAGATTTATGCTAATGAATGATTGTTATGGAGCTATTTTATTTTGTGCCAAAAGGAAATTATGAATCGGAACTCTCTACATGTTTTATTATGAAAAAATGTGGTTGGAAAAAGCATAGGGGAAAATATTCAGATTTTAGGTTATTCAAGATTTCAAACTTAGCACTGTATATAATTTAACTTGGTTAGAATATCTATGACTAAACATTTATCTTTCTTTTATTAAATTTTTTTCTTTAGTAAGTATATTTTAATCTAAGCTTGAATTTAGCAATATTTTAAATTTAGTATGCTTTTCTCACATTCATTAAAAAATATTCAATAGCATGTTCTGTGAGATGTCTTCTAAAAGGTTGTCAGTATCCGTAACACCAGATTGTGTAATAGGTATCACTCTGATGTTGGTTCTCTAATGAAAGAATGTTTTTTCCTCTTTAGGGTAATCTAATATTATTTTATATACTTCACTCCACTTTCCCCCCCCCAAAAAAAGAGGGTTTATTTTCTGGGATTTCTTTGTAAAAAAACAATTGTGAAGCATATAAAAAATAGGATAAATTATTATAACTCTTTTTTAGATAATTAATAGAACAAGCAAATGCTAAAAGAATTTTTCCAATTTCAGCTACACCTCACTTCAAAAATCAAAGATTTTCTGCATTTTTAACAAGTTTAAAAGTTAGAAAAGGTGATATGTAATGATACTTAATACTTTAAACTTGAGATACAGAGTATATTAAATACTCTTTCTGAACAGTGGGTTAAAAAAAGATGGACAATTAGCAATGGAATTTGGAATATTCACAGGAGAATATTTTGATGGTTCAATCTAAAAAAGCAATCCACAAATAATTCAATAAGTTTTAAATTATAAAAATTTTTAAATATTTATTTAATTTATTTATTTTAAATTAAATACTTCTGAGTGAATAAACTGAAAAAAAAAGTCTGTACTAACAACATGGCATATTATATTTCTATATTTTGACACTCCAAATAATATTATATTTCTGTATTTTGCAATTTGAAAATCATACTATGATACTATTATTGAGTTGGCATGTAATATTTAATCATCTAATATCTATCATGTTCTAAATCTTTCTTCCCGGCAGCTTTTCTTTTGGGGGGATTGTTAAGTATGAGTTCTAAGACCTTTTACTTTCACTATGTTCTCTTCACTTTAGTCTGTTTCTAAATCCTGCTTACAGAAGGCTTATTACTCTTTATGATTATGGGTGTGGGAATCTCAAGGTAGTCTAGTAATCTTTTCCTCTTATTATATTTACTTTGCTTAACATGTTTGTCTTTTGCAATGCTATCTCTTTCTAAATCGTACTAGTCTGTCCAACATGGATGTGAGAATGCGAGGAAATTTAGAAGTTTTTTCCTTCTTTCACTGTGTTTTCGTCACCCAAATCTCTTTTTAAGTTCCTGTTGTCATAAGGTTTGTTCTTTGTGAGTATGGGTGTAGGAATATCAAAGTAGTTGAGCAGTTATCCTTGCTTACAATATTTTCTTTCAAAATGCTATTTATTTCTAAGAAGTCCTGCTCTTAGAAGGCTTATTCTTTGTGAGTATGAATATAGGAGCCAAAAGATGTCTTAAAAATCTTTCTCTTTCATTATGTTTTATCCACATTGCTCCCTAAATCCTACTCTAAGAAGATTTAAGTTTTGAGTATGGATGTGTATGTAATGTTCCCCTTTTACTGTAATTTCAACTTACCATTCTTATCATCTTGAAAAATGAAGAGACACATTGATATGCTGTCCATGCTTTCTTTCATATCTCTAGCATCTTCAACAAAATTACTACCCAAGTTTCAGAAAGAGTAACAGAAAGCAGGTTGTTTGAGAAGTATGGTTCCTGCCAGGTTGATGACCAAGGTGCTATAAGCAGCATATTGGTGCTTATATATGCTGCTAAAGCAATGCAAAGCAATAGGCCTGTTTCAAGCAGTCGTGAGGAACTTAGCAAGAAAAAAAAAAAAAAAAAAAAAGCTAGAATTATTTTCTTATTGTTTCATTTTTATAAGTAGACTTCATAAAATAAAAAAAGGAATTGATTCACAATTGATTTAACATGAATTGATTTAACATCTTTTATCATTAGCACTATTTTATTTGAATTATTGATAAAATAATTAATGTAAACATTGTCATTTTGAAATCTGTCTTTTCTTAATAATAACTGTATGCTTTTGCTAAAAGTTACAATTATCTGTAAATTTAAGTAATGAGCATAGTAAAATTTTGTTATTTTTCTTTCAGAGCTCTAGAATTCCTTTTCAAGAATGGAGGGATGCCGTGTCTCTGTTGACAAAGCGGGATACTCAGAACCCATGCTGCATTGCATTTTACCCAATACTATCTCTTTCCTCTAGAGCTTGTTGATACTTAATTATTTTTTATGCATTTGTATATAATTTTGTACAATTTTATGGCATGAATTAACACTATTTTCAAGAAATATAACAAATTCTGATTGTGTGTTTGTAGGTATTAATTTTCCATTGTTTATATAGAAGATGCATCATTCCAAGTTCTTGTAAATAGTATGATTTCTGAGTTTCGTTTTCACCTGTTTTATAAACGTACTGATTTTATTTTGATGTAATAAAAAAAAGTGCATTTAGGAAACTTAATACATTTAACCCTTTGGCAGTTACCAAAATTTACAACCATTACTATTCTATTATGTGCTATACAGATAATGGAGGTAGTCAGAATTGCAATTTGTTTTATGTCCTTTTGCTTTTTCAAATGGAATTTTATTGCTGTGTAAATTGTATTCATATTACAAGTCTCTTGTCTGTTTAAGTTTTTGTTTAAAAAATTTTTAAATATTCAAGCAGTATTTTTGCCTTAGAAAAATGCAAAAATGCAGGTATCATAAAAATGGAAAGTCATAAATGAAAATTATGCATTCATTTATGCCCCCCCAAAAAGGGGGAGAAATAAATACACTGCTGTTTTTTTAATCTGCTATATTGAAATAAATTACTGCTACAAAGTAAAAAAGGATTAATTAAAAGCTAACATAATCATAGTCTTAATATTCTCTTCCTTGAGTCTTTGTCTTCTGTCCATAATTTTTATATTATAGATACAATAATATCTCTTAGTGTCCATGCAGTTAATGGGATTATTAAGTCTTTAAATAGCAATTTTTGCAAAGACTTTGACAAAAAAAAAAAAAAAAAAAAAGTTGTTGCTTTAAGGATCTGTATGACCTCAATGCATATTGATTGACTATTTATGAAATGATAGTTGTATCTGTCAGTGACTCATCTTTTAGAATGTCTTAAAAAACTAGTGTTTCATAACTATCAACACACCAGGCTTTCATTGTACCTCCTGGTTTTTAATTTTTAGCTTATTTCACCTTTACCAACAAGGCTTCTTTCCTCCATCAAATGACAGAATGAATCTGAATGGCCATTATGACTGCATGAGGTAAGAGCAAAAATTGTTTTTTGCCTTAGAATACCAAATATGCATAAATGCTCAAAGGAAGTGAAGGGAACATAAACCTAACTGATATGAAGTGAAGAGTTATTAATAACTATTAATTAACCTAATTATAACTGATTAGATTTCATCAATAATTCTTGTTTTTAACACTAATAACATTTAGTTATTTTCAACTTGGATGTAAGCATTAAGAAAAATATACATTTTGCACTATTTTTAACACTGTATCCATCTAGCCAGAAATCAGTTATATCACTCACTTTGAAAATTCATAACTGCCAAAAGGTTAAATAAATTGAATGCATTCATGTGAACTGACTGAATGCATTTCTTTACAAGTGCCATAGCTGTCATTTTTCTCAGTTGTTCATCACACCTCTTAGTAAATCATTGGATCTCTCAATTTTTAAATTGTAACCTTTTCTAAGGAAAATGTTTTGCAGCCATGAATGATATTGAAAATTGGGTAGATTTCATTCTGCCACTGTTAATGATTTTGAGCATAATTTTTCCTTACTTTTTTTTTTTTTTTTTTAAATGAGTTATCTTTATCTTCTGTCAACATATGTAGGAAAATTTTAAGAAAATTCACTTAATGTTTGTATTTAATTTTTATGTTAATAAATAGTACATTATTAAAGTTTATTCATGCAATAGTATGTACACTCTGCACAAAAAAGAAAAAAGAAAGGCAGTTCCTTATATATTGTTCTACCGGCCAATTGCCGAAATTTAACTTGCATTGTTCATGTCTCAGTAGTACGACTTAGAATATATATTAGATTTATATATAGTGTTGATCTAACATATTTATTTTAACACAAAATAGGACTTTTTCTGAAAAGGCACTCTGATTTTTTTTTCCATATTTCGATTCTACAACTCAAATTTATGCCTAAATATAAAATTTGGTAAAAAAACTTACTGAAAAATTCAAAAGTTTATCTTGAGATAATTTTTATATTGTGCCAAGAATATTCACTTGGTGAAATTCTTAATTTATGGCAACCTACTTTCCTTTCCCTTTCATTGTGCACAGGCATCATTCATTCTCTCAAATAATTTTCTTTATATTAAATTTTTTAATCATAGTTCTTATTTTTAGGTCCATAAACCACATTTGCTTAAAGCAAAGATGACAAATTTCAAAACATGCCAATATGTAAACTAACATATATCGTAGGAAATTTTGAATAAAATACTATAGTTTTTAATAGATATGCTTAGAAATACATCTACTTTAATGTAATGGTAAAAATATTATTGGTAATAATTCAAATATTTTTTTCAAAAAATTCCCAAAAATTACTAAAAAATATAAATGTTACAAATAAATAAAAAAATAGCTATGAATTTGATTTGGATTGAACCTAAATTTTAAACTGTGAAAGAATGAATCAAGTATGTTTAATAAAAAAAAAGGAGGCATTAAATAAATATATACCAAATTCAATTAACACTGAGGAGCTAAATGGTAGAGCCATAGAATCAAAATATGGAAAAGCATGGGTATTTCATTCCAAAAAAAGTCTGATTTTGTGTCAAAATACCTATGCAATATATAACAATACACCTATGCAATATATAACAAAATACCTATGCAATATAGAACAATGCTATATATAGTCTAAATCACGCTTATGAGACACGAGAACCATAAGTTAAAATTTCGTCATTTGGCCCAATAGAATAGGAGGTATAGGTAACTGTCCCTCCCCTCCTCCCCCCTTTTTTTCCAGACTGTGCATTAATTTAAGTGTATATAAAAGTACTTAAATAAATAAAAAGAAGAAATTAGCCAAAAGAATATAAAAATTAATTAAATGTTATGTATTTTACATTAGAATCATATTATAAATAGTTTAGTAAGCTAAGTCACATTATAAATAGTCAATAGTAAATTTGGAGTTCTTTTGAAATAGGATCACCACACAGCCTGGAAACTCCTGGTTTGTCATGCTTCAAGCTTGGCAGCTATGATATGTAGTTATTTTTTTAAAAAATTATTGTTTTTTTTAGGCTATTAAACTTTTTTTTTTTTTAATTTTGACAAACTGGAAACATTTACGCAAATGGAAGTTTAAAATGTCATTTTTCCATACTAATGGCCATTACATTTTCATTTGGTTTTTCTATGCAATAATCTCAGTGAAAATTTGTTCTCATGTCAAAGTTATAATGAAGTGATAAAGTGTTACTTTTATCCCTTGAGTTAGTATTGAAAAATTTCACATGTAATGTACCTGGAATAAAGTACTTCTACTTACATGTGTATTCATATATTCAGTGGTAGTGTTTTACATGTTGCACTTCCAGATTTTTCTGAATTGGAAATATAGCAATAATTTTAATATCAAATTCTCTATTCAGAAATCTGATCTGTTAAATATGCTTTATCATCAACTGTCCATAGTATCATTTGTATCTGTGTCTTGAGATGAAAATTTATATGTACACAACTGAAGAACTTATGAATTGTGGCCTCTTAAGCAGTTAAACCAGAGTTTTCAATTGAGCAGACATCCCTTCCCATTATGGTTTTAGGAATATTTCTTCAGCTGGACTTAATTGTAACAAAAAGCTCGTGGCGAAGACCACTGAAGCACAGTTGAAAAGGTGTGAACAAGAAATGGCCCCAAAAATTTAAACATAAGATGCATGTAAAATCCATGTAAGCAATGAAAGACATTTCCTTATTTATATTTATTACATATTATATTTTGTATATTGATAAATATATAAATTATATCATTTTAAAATATAATAAGCCTTAAATTTATACGTACATTTGTAGCACATTAAAATAAAATATTAGTTTCAATTTTATCTACAGTGGTGTCTCATAGAATAAATGTCCTGCATAACAAACCTGAGCATGGACTAAATAATGTCCCACATAATGAACTCAATCCTGCATTATGAATTGCATATGAATTTTATTATACATTAAAAGCATAACTAAATTTTTTTTTTCCTGTTTTAATGAAGTATTGCTGAAAAATAAAATAGCCTGTGCATAAACAAAGATGGTGAATAGAAGAGTGAGCAAATAAATATATTGTATTACCACTGAAGAGCTGTTGTTCAGTCTTCCTTGATAAAGAACATGAGGAACCATAGAGGGAAGTTCCTTTTATCAGGAAAGAGAAGAGAGAGGATCTTTCGCTTACTGGAACTCTGAAGAACTTTCAACAGGTGGAAATTCGACTGAATCCATATTCCTTAAAGCGAAAAATCTAAATTGATTTAATTAAATAATTAAAAGTAAGATGATGTCCAGGGTCGGTATTGAATAGTGACATATTAATTAATTAATTAAGCTTAAATGAATAGAGGGGCTGGTTCATTTAATAACAATGCCCTACACTTCTTCAGGACCATCTTAAAAAAGAGAGAAAATTTCTTGAAGCTTCCCAAAAAAACAAAGGTAATACAAGAAGAATGCAAAAGACAGCCAAGTCTTGTGTTTCAATGGAAAACTAAAACTATCTGCATACATAGTATATGCTGATATTTTTTATAATAAATAACTTAATAATTTAAGTGGTTTTTTTAATTTTCTGTGAAATTATTTACATTTCATTATTTTTAACTGGGCTTAGGAGTAGATTAAAATTATTCCTATAGTAACCTATGAGATACAAACCCCTGCATAATGTGCAATATCCAAAATCATGAAGCAATTCTTTACATGAGGAACCATTATATTTAGATCACACCATTTGAAATTTTAGTGAGATAACATTAGCACATGGTGAAAAGGCAGGATAGAAAAAAAATTTTTGAAATTTCTTGAAGTAATTCTTTCAACGATAACGTACATTTCAAGAAAAACCTTATAAAAATATCCAATTTTATTGAAGAAGATTAAGCTTTTAAATAAGATATGCACTTACATAATAAGTTAACATTGATTTGTCTAATGTAAAACATCAGCAGTGTTTACTAGTCATTCTGTGCAAGCTGAGTTCTGGCAAGCAGTACCACAGATGTGAGAAATAAAAAGCGATTCTGCCTATTGATGAGCATTAGAGTTAAATGATTTTAAATTGTAATCAGTATGGTTCTATAAATAAGTGCATTTATTCATTTGATTAAAATATGTGACAAAAATAATTGTTATGTGTAAGTTAACTGAAAATTAAGTTTTGATGCAATATTATAGTGTGCATGTAATGAATGCTGTGATGTTAAATTATCTCAAAATATTGAAATTTTTCTATTATGTTCTTTTTGATATTGTATCAAATCACAATAATTACTTTTTATAATATTACGTCACTTTTTATACTTTTGTAAAAAATTAAAACTGCCGTTATATTCAGCCTGTAATGACTGAAATTTTTAAGCAAATTGTGTTTCACAGTTGAACACAAACATAGAGCACCTTATAATTTTATTTGAGCAGTTTTTAAACAACATTTTAAATAGAATAAAGTAGAATTACATTAAATGGGGCAACTGCTACATAATATTGATCAGTTTTTCAGGTTGTACTGTTCTACAGCAGTCAAAATGCATAAAACTAATTTCCTATTCGCCTGATGTTAAAATTTATTATTAAAATGTTTCAAGTTAGGTTATTTGAATAGGACAAATTAAATCAAGGTTATCTGCATTCCTGGAGGACCTTTTTAAGGGAATCTAGCTGGTATTCACATTGGTCATAGGGAAAACCAACCATGCATCCTTAGATTGAACCTGATTCAAACTCTCAGTATCCAGCAGCAAGTTTTGAACAGAAGAAAATCTGATTTCTTTTCATCTTCACAAGTTCACAACCATTATGAAATTGCTTGAACCTCTTTTTGAGATTATCATAGTATTTGCATTAACTAATTTCAAAACTTCGTGATTTCTATAAAACTTTTTCTTGTAATTTGAAACAAATGCATTACTCATTGTCCATAATTTATAGCATAGTTTAAAATTTACCTCTCAACTATAACTCATTCATACAAGTTGAAACTTGTCACATGCCATAATTCAATGCACCAGTTTCTATAGATTTTTTTATTTCTATCAGACTGGAGTTACCAGCAATATTCTCAGTAGTATATTTTTCACATTCTGTAAATATACTTTTTGGATAGAAGCTTATCACAAGTATCATTAAAAAACATAATTTTTAATAGGTGAAAGTAATGAGGGAATCATTTATTGTTTCATGTATTTTTTGTTAATGCATACTTTGATGCATAAACATAGTCTACCAATGAACTTATTTTTCATAAGTGGACATAATTAGCTGCTATTTGTAACAGCAACCTACAAAAAGCTTTATTATTATAGCATGGACAAGTTCTTTGGAACTTCTTAGTATCAAACTCTTATTTTTTTTTTTTTTTTTTTTTTTTTTTTTTAATTCTCTCACGCTTGAAACAAAATATGAGTACTAGTGCAGCATATTGTTTACATATATAACTTCCAGGAATATATATTTAAAAAGGGCAGTGATTTTAAAGTACTAAAATGCATTGAAAGTTTTACATTATACAGAGGCTGAACTTAACTATCCAGATGTGGTGCTTCAGTTTCTAAAATATTTAGCATTAAAGGAATGGTAAAGATGTCAATCGAGCTTGCCTTATGTATTCAGGTTAGCCTTTAACCCAACTATAACAACATAGGATGAAATACTAATTCAGAAGTCAAACAACAAAAATCAGCGTTATATTTTCACAGGACTAGTTTCCATGGTTTTACCGAGCCACCATCCTCAGCTGCAAAAGTGCAAACGAACGAGATAGGATATAATGATTAGATAAGATAAGAAAGCCTGGACAAGAATAAGCAAGTGGCACTATCTGTTGATGAAACCAGAACTAAAACAATTTCTTTAAAGGCCGAAGGCAAAGATGGATTGGAATTAGGATCATTAACTAGAACAGAAAGAATTTTTTGAATGTGAAATGCCTCTAGAAAATCTAGTTCTCCAATGTAAGATGTTTTTTGAATAATTTTGGCAGCAGAAAAATTGAAAGTGTGATTTTCGGACCAACAATGTTGGGCAACAGAAGACTTCTGTGTTTCCTTTTTTCTAACATATGCCTCATGTTCCTTGACACGAAATTTTAAGGCTTTCTTAGTTTGGCCAATGTAAATTAAACCACACTGGCAAGGAATCCTATAAATACCCCAGAAATTTATATCCAAAATTGAGTATGGAACTCGGAATTTTATTGATGGGAGAATAAACAACCCGAAAGTTAAATTTCTGCAAAATATAATGGTAAACTTTATAGCTAATTGATGGAAAGAAGGGAACAGAATTTTTATAATTATTATGACAATAGAATTTTTATAATCTCCTAAAACAAGAGTGTGCCTTTTAGTGTGTTGAGATGAGAATTTTTTAACTGCTTGATTAATAATGTTGCGTGAAAACCCCTGTCAATAGCTATTGCTTTTAAATAATTTAGTTCTTCATCAAGGGATAGTTTGGAGGAGCAAACTTGAGCACGAAAAACATAGGAATAAAATGAAGCTAACTTTTGTTTAGTCGGATGACATGATTTAAAGTGTGGTGTAAGGCAAACCGATGAAGGTTTACAATAAACTGTAGTACTGAAGTTGGATGTGTTACGCGTGACCAGAATGTCGAGAAATGGAAGAGAATTGCAGTCTCAAGTTCAAAAGTTCATAACAATCTACATGCATTATTATGAATCAAAACTGTTTGAAACTTTAAACTTCCCGGTATGGTTCCGCTACGTAGATGATACTTTTACCCTGTTTGAAGGTAATAAAGATGATTTAAATAAAGTTCTTTCAACAATGAATTCTAGTGATCCTGCTATTCAGTTCACTTTTGAACTTGAGACTTGCAATTCTCTTCCGTTTCTCGACATTCTAGTCGCACGTAACTTCAGTCCTATGGTTTACCGTAAACCTTCATTTCATTTTCGTTTGATAAGAATAATCCCACTACCTCAAGTACAGTTGAAACTTCCATTGCAAATGGAATTTTCAGCTGTACTTGGCCTTCACTGTTACATATTTTTTTTTTTTTTTTTTTTTTTTTTTTTGGAAGATCAATATTTTTACAAGTTATCCAAAGTGGTTTATTTTCCCTCCTTTCTTCAGAATGGTTCTGATAAACTGCATGGCACTGCTGTTAAACAAATCTGTTAATCGATTTCCCTCAGCTGGAATGGGTTGCCATTGCTTGGCTGCCCACTTCTTCAAGAGGTCACTGATGATTGCATTAGGCATGGTCATCTGTCTTCTTCTCATCCAATGAAACTTCTTTCTAGGCTTTTTTTTTTTTTTTTTTTTTTTTTTTTTTTATGTTTCTGTGTTCAATAAAGGCTTGAAGTTTTTTAATGGAAATATAATTAAAAATGTGTATACCTGCCTGTTTCGTAACTCGTTGCCTTTGTTTATGCCCGCACATATTTTCTGTGTTTAAGTGACAGAAAATTAACCAAATTTAGCTCAGTATTCAATTTGTTAATAATGTAGAATGATACTGGCATGTGATTCATAATCCAAGACTTTTTTTGGCCTATGTGCGTATTTATTATACGAGGCACAACAGTATAAAAAATCTCTCTTGATAATGTTAGCATATTTTATCTGTCCTTGCACATGCTTCTTATAAATGTATATACAGAATAAAATGATTCATTAAATATCTGTCTTATGTGGATAATACCATTCAGTTGCTGTTAGCTATCTTAGCATTTTGATTTACTATCAAACTTAAATATTGTCTTCTTAAGTTGGTATTAAATTCCACTGTGGTCAGTTTTAACATAAAACACTGCAACCTTTTCTCATATTTGGTTGTCCATACACCTAATTTTTTTAATAATTTAATACATCAGCAAATTTAATATTTTTAATCTTCCACAGTAAATAATACTAGTTAAGTCTGTAACAAGAATATATTTAATTTTCTAAAAACACATATTTTCACCAAAACTTGACAGAAAATTATTAATTCACATGCATATAATTTAAAAAAAAAACATTTAATAAGACATTTAAAAATAAATTTTTATTTCTATATCAAACAATATTTTTGTACATTTTAATCTCAGGTACAGATGACCCCTCTAAGCTTTTGCTGTATATCAATTTGCTTTTACAAAAGACTGGGTTCTCACAGTTATGAAGAAAGGTGAAAAGTATTCAAGTTAGGTCAATTTTGCAGGACATCTAGCATGAATACAAGGAATGACATGATAGAAAAGGTGACTTTGTCTAAATAATTAGAACATGTTAAGTGGGAAACGATTAAACTCATTTTATGCAGATTGTTATTAAAGCACAGGAGACAATAAAACTCATTTTCTACTAATTATCAGTGGATTATTGTTATCAATGAGTTTTTTGGGGGGACAAAGTGATTTTTTTCCAATAACTTAAGTATAAATTCCTAAAAATGATAGAATAGAATGTAATGATGGAAAATTGTATGCAGATAGTTTATCAAATTATTCCTGAGAGAACGAGCTTAGTGATGACAAAATTATACAGCATCCTAAGACATTTTTCTGACCAAGAATTTCAAGCCTAGATTCAAATAATTCTAATTCTGAAAAAGAATGATTATCAATAAACAATAGCACCACTCAAAGAGTTTTTAGGCTACATATACAGAAAATGTTCTAGTCTTGTAGTGTATATGCTACACTAAAATATCAAATTTATCACCGAAAGCAGCATGGAAAAGGTGAACATGAGGCAGTAAAATTACATAAATGTATTATTGGCCAGTCATATAGGCCTGTGCTTCCTTCAAGTTACAAGCACATATAGGGGCCATGTGATAATTAATTGATCATGATGCCATACCATGTTAACTGCATCTCAGATATCGGTCCCTTTCCTGAATATTTTCCGCACAATAAGCAATAGATTGAATAAATTTACTAAACATTTTCAATCATCACATCTCTATGCAAATATGTGCAAAACAATTATGGAACAGTCTTAAATATTACTGATAAAAATTAAGCATATTTACAAAGATAATAAAGTGGGTATTGACCTAAGTGCATATGCACTTCAAAAATATTACATTATGGCATCTTAATACATAAAATGCACCATACAGATAACACATTTAAGTAGTCAATATTATCAGCTAGAAGACTTTGCTGATTTTTTATGATCAATTCCTACTGCATCTTTAATGTTTTCAATATTATCAGCTCTGAAATAGATCAAAAGCAAAATTATAACACATAAAATAATCACACAATTAAACATTTAAATGAATTACATAATAAAATAAAATCTTCTGACATTAATTTTATAAACTACTTCAATGCGTGTATAAATAATAATTTAAAATTAATTTTGATTCAATATGTAATGTAAATGACTCAAGTGAGTAGGTCACATGTTCAGGCATGAAAGTGCAAGTTGGCAAAAAAAGCTGAACAACGCGCGGACACAAAAACTAAATGCGCACGTGCGACCTCAAGAAAACACATTTTAATAAAATATCAACCTTTTAATATAAAAAGTATTAGGCATATACATATAATTAAGCTAAAATAATACTTGTACTTACTATTTTGCAATTAATTTTATCTTCCACTTGTTAAAAAAAAAATCAGTAAATCACTAAGAGATTGTAATGAATTAACCTTCTTTAAGATGCTCTTTATGTAAAATTTAACAGTTGATACACGAATACTGTACACAATATTACAACACACTAATATACATATTTATGTCATATATTACTGCCCATTTCCAGACAATGACAAGTTTTAGAGATAATATATATATATATATAACTGTCACTATATCTTTCAATTATCTTCACTTTTGGTTTATATAACACCAGAAAAAGTAGTCGTGAGATAATATAGTTACAAAATAACATAACCTATAGTTAAAGGAGGAATTTAAAAAATAACTATTTTGTCTGTCTCACTCGATCCTGATTAAAAATTTTTAGGGAAAAAGCTTTCTCTTTTTTTTGCAACTTTTGCAGCCAACTTTTCTAATTTCCATTTGCGAGCTAGTCTCAATTTCTTTTCAGCAGCTTTTATACAATCCATTGATATTTTTTTATTTTCTGCAATGTTTAATTGCTTTTTTTTTTAGATTCTTGCTCCTCCTTTTTTTATCTCCAGCTCTTCTTTGTATTGTTTATGAGCATTCCTTAAATTTTTACATAGAGTTTTGTGTACTGGAGAATGCAAGTGATTATCCGTATGTCCAACAGATGGCGCCAGCACATCTGTATGTCCGACAAATCGCTGAAATTATTGAACTCAACTCTCGTTTGACGGTTGCTTGCTCTTCTTTGATTCGATATTCGTACACATCTAGTTCCGCCATTCCACATAAGCCCCACCTACTTCGCCTTGATGTAAAACGACGCATTTCACGATCTCTGGCATGATGTAAAGTTCATTTTCATAGACGTACTTCCCATGTCTCGCACATTCGCAATGCCTAATGAGCATCGCTCGGTCATTGTCGACCAAGCTTATGCTATTCTTAAGTCGTTTGGTCATGAAATTGATTATCCTGACAACAAAGAGATTTTCAAAGCTCTACATAAAGTAGATGTTTTGCAAGAAGAGGATTTAAGAAATGGCAAGCCTGTGAAATCGGCGCTGCGCAAAGCTGAAAAGTCTTTCTGTGCCATAATGTTAAGGGAACATTATGGTTCGGAGCAATTTTATGAAAAAGATTACTTTAAGGATTATCCGAAGAGTGATCCGGTAGTGATGGAATTTAATAGAAGACAAGCTGAAAGGAAGAGAAAGCAGTTTCTCAAACCTGATAAGCCTAAAGATGTCGAGTGGAAAACTCCGACCAAAGTAGTGAAGAAAATCACCGCTCCGTCCCCGGAACCGATGAAATCCAATACCAAAACGACTCCTGTTGCTGCCTCGACTTCCAAGGTAGTCACGAAGAATAGTTTCGAAGCACTTACTACAGCTCTGCTCCTGTACCCATGGACTGTGTTGAGATTGCAGAAAAAGTAGTTACCAATAGTTCGCATGATATGCCGAATAAGACTGATGGAAAAAATGTAAGACCTCCTCCGATTATCTGTCCTAGGACCAAAGGTGAAATGGAGTGATCTGAGAGAAAAGTTCAACAAACACGGCGTTATGGATTACATCGGTGTCCTGACTAGAGACAAAATTACTCTGATTTTTAACTCTTATCGATCAAAGAGACAGAGCATTAGCTGTGCTCATGAAGGATGAGGTGCAATTTAGCACGTTTAGGCAGAAGAAGGAAACACCTCTTAAAGTTGTTATCCAGCGGCCTTCCTGAAGACTCAGCTGTTGAAGAAATTAAAGCTGAACTTATCAGAGATGGATTTCCTGTACTTAGCGTCTCACAGTTCACAAGGAAAATCAAGAAAAAGGAAGTAAAGCTCCCAGTTTTCTTTGCTTCATTCAAGAGGAATGATGAAGGCAGGAGCATTTACAGAAAGAAAACGCTGCTTGATCTCCGGGTCAAGTTCCGAAGATTCCGAGGTAACTGAAGCACGATGATTTGCTTTAGATGTCAGCGTTATGGCCATGGCCAAATTTCCTGCAATAATGCACCCAGCTGTCTCAAGTATGGACAGGTTCACCTGACCTACACCTGCAAACTTCCTAAAGATCAGAAACCTACTTGCCCGAACTGCAAAAAGGAACATATTGCGACATCTAAGATGTGCGAATTTTGGCTGAAAATTCGTGAAGCTGCTACTAAGAAGAAACTGAATCCTGCGCGGAAGACACTTTGTCAGAAACATTCGCCCTCCGTTGTCTGAATTTACAGCTTGCGAAAGATGAAAATTCAGGCATCAAAATCCCACTCGGATGCATTACATCTGCCATGTCGGATATTACGATGGATAAAAGTCTACAGTTGATTGCTCTTAATTTTTTAGAATTAGTGGCATAAATGCAAGAAATTGAATCTCCGCAAGAAAAAGTTCTCCTTGCTCTAGGAATGGTAGAGCAAATGCCGAAAATGGACTTGTAATTTCTCCTTTTTCTCGGTAAGATGATTTTACTAGTTTTATCTTCTAGTTCTATAGATTCCGATGGATGGCACTACCTGATGGACTCTTCTGCTGGATGCGCCTTATGATCAAGTCTGAAGTCCCTCCTCTACCCGTGACATCCAGCTGTCACCTCCCTCTTTACATCTTTGACTCCGCCCACTTTCCCATCCAGACTTTTTACAGCATCATGTGCCCAATCTGGTATAAGTATAATCGAGCCGGCAACGTCGCATGCCTTACAGCGATAGCCCGGCATAAGAGTACAGTCAAAAGTCGTTAATTCGGGCACCCATAATCCGGAATGATCTATAATCCGAACCTCAAAGCTACAAACTTTCTGCGCATGATGCGCGTAAGACCTTTACGGCTGCGCATGCGCATAATACGTTTACGCATGCGCGTTTAATGTATAACGGATGGTATAAGCTAAAATTATCTAATTATCTAATTCAGTTAATGTTGCAGATTGCGTTGTTCCTTAATCTTCGAATTGGATCCGGCTTATTATTTTTTGCAGATTGTTAGAGCAATTTTATAAAAGTAAGCTTGAACTTTCGATTATGTCAAGTAGAATTTCCGATGCTGGAACTGCCAAAGGATCTACAACGTGAAAGTATGTTTCGATGTCCATCAAACAAAAAGTGAAATTGCTGCAAAAAATGGATAAAGGGCATATCCTTTGTTTCTCTAACCATTCCGAAATCTGTTTATCAATTTCACGTTGCTCTGCGGGGGGGAGGGGATGCGGCGGCACGCAATGAATTGGAAGTTGATCTGTCAGCACTATCCTTATCTTCAGGGCAGATGTTTTTATTTTATTTGGCTTATAATTCCTTACTAAATGTAGTATTTCATCTTGATGTACTCCATCTTTGATATGATTTAAATCAAATTTCTCGTCATTATAATTCGCTTCCGATAGTGATGAAAGTGACACAGAGGTTATTGAAAACGAAACATTTCGATTGACAAATTAGTCGGCATTCTCAACACACCAATTATAGGACTTGAACAGTGGAACTTTGTAACTGAGCAAGAAATTATGTCTGTTTATAGAATTAAAGAGAAAATATTATCACATAAAACGAAGCAACTTAAACAACTTACATTGAAAGAAATGTTTAATAAAGTAAACAAATAAATATTAAGCTTTTTTTTCTAAATTTTGATACCCTTTATGTCATAATTGTTCTTTATCTATAAATTACGGTTTCATATTTTTAACTTTATAATTTCTGCATGCCATCTTACCAGATTTAAACTGATGATCTATAATTCGGAATCGCCGAAGTCCCGACGAGTGTGGATTAACGACTTTTGACTGTATAACGAATGAATGAATGTAAAGTTTTTTTACAAAGAAAAGAGGGAGAGAGCATGTCATCCGTTTACCCCCACCACCATCACCACACACACACACACATCTGCCGGTTGCGATTTCTCAATGGTTCTACATCGATCTCAGAAACAGCCTGGGTGACGTTCAAAAAAGCGGAATTCCGCGAAAATGCGAAAAACTTTCATGCCTGCATGTTACAGGCACAAAGACATAGTCTGATTCTGTGTGCAATAGGTGAGTAAGTTCATAGCAAATTATGCTTAGCATCTCGATGGTGATAATACTGAGAGCAAAATGTGTAAATGAAAAAAAACCCTAAGTCAGACACTTCTGATAAATGAGTGAGATGCTGAATACTCGCCATATAACAATCAAGGAAACCAGACGTAAAGAGCTGGATGGGCATAGTAATGACATAGGAGTAGAAAGTTTCTGATGGGCTTAAAGCATGAGGTTAACAAAAAGTACCTCTAGATTGATAGAAAGGGGAAAAAATTGTACAGAGCTAGGTGTCAATTAAATTTAGAAAAAGGCTTTAACAACTAAGCTAAATAATAATGGAACTAAAGGGAGAGTTAAAAAATAGTGAGCAGAGACTATTTAAGCAACTAAAACAAAAGTAAAATTAATCTAAGTGAAGGAGCACTACTCTAAGTGTTTTTTTTACTTGCACTGCCGTGAAAGTTATAATCCAACAGTGTATACTTCATTGTTTACATTTTCAATATTACTGAAAAATTTCTTTGCAATTTTTGCTATGTATTTCACTAACATTTTAATTTTATTTTAGTCATAAATTGCATTTTTTCTTATTAACCATCCACTAGCAGTAATTTGTCTCAGTGTTGTGATTTGAAGAACTTGAGTTTATTAAGTTTGGATTTACATGCCTAACCCTATACAGGACAGGCATAAGTGAATAATGGATCACAATATGGTCTTATACATAAATAATTTATTATTTACAGATAAAACAGAGTTCCGAAAAATTAAGGGGAATAATTTAGCTTTAGTAGCCCGGAACTTGGAAGCAATATGTGTTATGTGGGGTTTCTATCAAGTTTTTGATCAAAAATAATGCCTACATATTTAACCTGCTTAGCCCAGAAATGGCAGTATTATACGTGGTAACAGTCATATTTAAGCCCAGATTTTCATCTAACGGTGAGGAGAACTGCTTTGGACTTGTCCACATTAATAGTTATTTTCCATTTTTGAAGACAGGACTCCAATGAGTGGATATGTTGTTATAGTGTTACTTGGATTACTGAATTTAGGGATGCATTTTGAGTCACAATTGCCATGTCATTGGTATACATGGCCAGTGTAGTGTTAGTGTTGTGTGGTATGTAATTCGCGTAAATCAAAAATTATATTGAGCTAATCAAATTTCCTTGGGAAAAAACCCCATGAATTTGATGGTGTGTGTAGTAATAATTGCTATAGCAAATGACAAAAGATCTATTGTTGTGGGATAAACCGCACTTATGTTTGCCATGTTTTAATAAAGTTCATCGTAACATCCCTTTGTAATTGCATAAAAACTTAAATTTAACTAAAATGTTATATTTAAAACTGATATACAGACGATAAAAAAAATTATATGTGAGGATGCAACTTGCTTGGCATAGTAATGTTCAGCCAGGTATTTGTTAAACTAATTCCTAGAAAAATAAATTTATTGGTTTGTTGTGTTATGCATGTTAAACTATACAACCCTTTCCTTGATAATTATGATTTTTGCGCTATTTTAATTATTGTAAGGCATACGCCAGAAACAAAATAATACGAATGTAAAGCGTGGGGTGCATACGCACCACGTGGCCTGAACGGGAAGTATTCAAAAAATGGTCTGGCAGGGAACGTGTTAATGATGCGTATGATGTAGCCTGCAAATCCCAGGGTAATTAATTTGTAGAGTAACCCTTCCAGCCATATGCGATCAAAAGCTTGAGAAAAAGTTTTCTAATAAGCTTTAGAAAGCTTTTTCTCAAGCTAAAAAAAAAAGTTTGAGAAACAGTTCAGCTGTACTTAGTTGATTCTGGAGTTGTTTGGAGATGAGTTCTGTTACTCTGTAAAGTTGATGGCATGTGAAATGCTTTCTTCGGAATCCATGTTGGTATCATTATATCAACATAGATTCTGAATATAGTTGTGTGATATAATAATATTTATGTTATCCATAAATTCCAGGATTCTGTTACTGATAGGTCTGTAGAAAGAAGGTTCAGTAGGATCTTCTCCAGGCTTCAAGATAGGCTTTTCAATCTTATCGCCATTCTCCATTGCTCCAGGGAGTGCTGAAATTGGAGTATAGCACTGATAATCTTGGAAACCTATATAACATGAAGGTGCTCATTTCTATAATCATTTTCATGCTGATGTCATCTATTCCAAGACTTTTTCTGGTTTTGCGTTTCTAAATATAATTTTTCACTGTACAATCATTAGAATTTTTGAAATAGTAAACATGAAAAATGAGCAATGCCTCGCCTGGACTCAAGCTTGGACCTCTCGAACACATGCTGAGTGTGCTAACACTATACTACAAAGGCATGTAGAAAGGAGGGAGAAAATATTTTATATACTCCCTCTTTTAAAGAGTGACTGTCCTTGCCGGGACTTGAACCTGGACGTCTTGAATACACACTGAGTATGCTACAATTAGACTACGAAGGCATGTAGAAAGGAGGAAGACTACGAAGTCATGTAGAAAGGAGGAAAAAATACTTATAGAACTTCTGATGGTATGGCCATGGAATGTTGCTCATGAGTGATTATGTTAGGAATTGGATAACTGTATGATTTATGATATGTTCTGTTTCAGGATAAGGGATGTTGTTAATGCCAAACTGAGAAGCATAGTTATCAGCTACTGACTCAGCTTTCTCAGTGTCAGTTAAGTGGTACCATTAAGGTCATCAAGGGGCAGAATATTAGTGTAGTATCTTTTATACAAGGTGTGTTCGAAAAGTTTGGTGATTGGTCTCATAATTAAAAAACCGCGCCGGTTAGGATCTTGCACTCATGCAGACACAGTGAGAGAAATGTCATCTAGAGCCATCTAAAGGCCATTTTATGACAGATAAGAGGAAGCGCATGCTATGAGCAGTTTAACAAAGTCAGTGTGAGAAAGATTGTCAGTGTGACATGGAGCAACGCATAAACATAAAGTTTTGCTTCAAGTTATTCAAAACGGCGACAGAAACACACGACATGTTAGTGAAAGTTTACGGTCAGGAAGCAGTGAGTAAAAAAGTGTGTTTATGAGTGGTTTTTTTAAACGCTTTACAGACGGAAAGGAGGATGTAAAGATGAGCGCGGTTGGGGGCGCCCTACAACAACGCACAACTCAGACAATGTGGAACGAGTTCGAGGATGCTTGCGGCAGATCGACGACTATCTTTAAGAATGATAGCTGGCGAATTGCAGATAAGCCTAGACAGTGTGAGCACCATTGTGCATAAAACGTAAGATATGCGCCCGGTTTGTACCGCACTCGCTGTCAGACGAGCAAAAGCAATACCGGATGGAAACCTCTGGAGATTTTATCGACATATGGGACCGGAATCCGCAATTCTTGGAAACAAAAATTACATGGGATGAGTTGTGGTGCTATCAATACGATCCGGAGACCAAGCGGCAATCCATGGCATGGTGTTCAACGTCGTCACCCCCTCCCAAAAAAAGTCGTTTGACACAATCCAGGATCAAGATGTTGTTGATCGTCTTTTTCGACAGTAAGGGTTTGATCCATCATGAATTTGTACCTGCAGCTACAACCGTCAATGCGGAATACTACGAGGGGGTTTTGAAACGGCTGCTGCTACGCATACGCCGGATTCGGCCACAGTACCGGAATGGACAGTGGAATCTGCTCCATGACAACGCCCGGCCGCACACTGCGATCGTGTAACCCAATTCCTCGACAGGCACCAGGTTCCAGTTTTGGATCACCCTCCATATTCTCCAGATCTGGCTCCCGCGGACTTCTTCCTGTTTTCCCGCCTCAAAGGAGTTCTGAAAGGCCAACACTTTTCCGACATTACTGAGATCCAACAACGTGTGACAACGGTGCTTCGAGCCATATCGAAAGAAGCGTTTGCAGACAGTTTCCAACAATTGTACACCCGATGTCAAACGTGTATTGTTGCTAATGGCGAATATTTTGAAGGCCAGTAAAGCTATTTTGCTTGTTTCTTTTGTTTCCTTTTTTTATGGTAAAATTCACCGAAATTTTCGAACACACCTTGTACTTAGAAACATTGCCCAGATAATAATCACTGGGGAGTGATTCTAAGTATGTGGTACGGTGAAGTTTGTGCATGTGTTTTAATAAGGGATGTGACTTCATAAATAAGATGGTCAAGCATTCATCATGAGGGCAGCAAGTATAATGCCAGGTTTTATGTGCTCTGTTTCTCTGTTTGATCAATTCTCTAATAGCAGGATTTTTAAATCTTTTTGTAGCAAGGACTTCAGTGCTGTTTTTGTAAAGTGCAGTTTGAAGTTCGTCCGTGAATTCATTAATTAATCTAATTCATTCTTCATATATAATATGGGTAAATATGAAATGTAAATGAACCTTTAGTTACACATATCTGTGTAATAACTTTAATGAATATATGAAACTTTTGTTTTCAATTAAATTATATTACTGGTGTATGGGGGGGATAAGAATTTCAATAGCATTTTTTTAATTTAAAAATTCTCTAAACTGTTTCTAAATTTACCTTATAACTGCTTTCTAAATAGTTCATGACTAAAACATATGTTATCATTATTATTAACATTAGTATTAGATTATGTATATCTATATAAAAATTAAATAATTAAATTTTATTGAAAGAAGAGCATTAATAAATAACATAAAAGAATAATTCTTTTAATGAAGGGAGGAATAATTATAACTTTTTTAAATAGCTTTTATTTCATAATAATAAACTTTAATTTGCAAAGAAAAAAATAAAATTAATAGGAATATATAATTTAATTACTCAAATTTTCAACTCAAAATTAGTAACTTGAATTTTCAGCATTTTCACACATATAAACACAAATTTTAGTTGCAGACAAATAAACTAAACTAACTGCTATATATTAAGTATAAAAATATTCTATTAAGTTTTTAAATAAGTATGTTATTTTGATCTGATTAATTATGTTACTATGATTCAAATACTTATATTGATTATGATAAAATCGTGTTCTTACGTACTGGCTATAATCTACAAGCTAACAAAATAAGTTCTCTTGATTTCATCTTGAAATAATCAGTTTTTCATGGAAGAATGTGAAATATTAAAAAGCACTAATTTAAAAGAAAAATAATTACATTAATAATTCTTGCAGTTCTCTCTTAATTTTTCCAATAACTGGAGGGCCTTCAAAGGTTATAGCTGTATAAAGTTGTATGAGAGAGGCTCCAGCTTTTATTTTCTCATAGGCATCTTTACCAGATGCTACACCTCCAACTCCAATGATAGGTATTTGGCCTGTAATGCACAATGATGAGTATACAATAAGAAATATTATTCATATATTCCAACAAGTTTCAGATAATTTAAGTCTTCTAGATAATAAACCTATACAAATTTATAATTTTGTTTTTCTTTTCTTGGACTAATGATTTTTTTTTTCGCTGGTTTCCATAGAATTAGGAAACACAATCAAGTTTATTCTCTAGTACATATTGTATTGTTCTTGAGTTTAGGCAAACATGCCTGTAATATTTAAAAATTAATTTTTTACAATAATTAACTTAAGCTTATTTATTTTTTAGCTATTTCTTTATATACATCAAACACATAGAAAAGAAAGGGAAAAAAATAATAGTATGTTTATAGCTGCTGCAATTAATAATGTACAACAATTTAATGGCTTTTATTCAGTCGTGATAGTTTTTGCCATTTGGTGTATTACAGTTTAAAATATTCTGTTTTCTTGTAAATATCACATTAATGAATGAAAGTTTATGAAAACAGAGACTAAAATAAGCAATTATAAAAATTAAGCTAATAGAAGCTGTTTAAATACAGGTCTTCATGAGCCGATTCAAAAAGCTGTGCCACTCAGAGAGTTAAACTAAAAAGAATTAATTTAAATCAGTTTCTCTGGTTTACTTGCTTTGATGTAAAATAATGGAATTCATTTTTTTTTTTTTTTTCCTTTTAGCTTGGGAAAAATACCAATGAAAGTCTGTTCTTTTCTTTGCAAAATTTTACCTGTTATTAAATACTACACATATATATATATATATGTAATTTAACCGATATTCTCTATTCATATAAAGCTAATATAAATTTTAAATTTAATAAACCAATTTTTAAAAATTAAGTGTACATATTGTGTTTCTATTCTTTTTGTAAATTTAATATACCCACTCTAGCCTGTAGGGTTTGCACCAAAAAAGACACAAATTTCTATGATTAATTTTCCATGGTTTATTGGAGAATTAAATTCTAAATTATAATTTGTGTCACTGTTACTTCAGAAACAGGCTGATGCTTCTATCATTGCACCAACCCGGCACAATGAGAGAAAATGATGCAGCAAGGAAAGTATTTCACTTTTTTTTTTCTTTTGCAGTTTTCATTTTGGTTTATACTGTTTTTGCACTTTATCACGCAATGTGTTTCACAATTTTTATTCTAATAGTAGTTTGTTCTGGGTTGAATATGGGATGTATTGAAAGTTTTAGCTTAATTTCTTTTTTTGCTACACTACTACCAGTTGTTGCAGCTATCAGTGCATAAATCGGATTAGATTTTTAAACTGCTTTTTACTTTATATATATGTGTGTGTGAATGTTTGTGTAGAGTACTGTCAGTAAGTTTTGTCAGTGAAATCTAACTGTGCTGTAGTATTGTAACTGTAAATGAAGAAGCATGGCAATGCAGTATGTCATTGTCCACAAGGTCACCTTCACAACTCTGTCAGTAACTGGCTTGCAGTGTGCTGACAGCAGTAAAGATGGAGTGTGGTGTATAGGGGAATCAAATCACTGTATTGACATTATTTTATTGCGGAAAGTGAGCTAAGGAAATGGTTTCAGTGCTGAAACTTCTCCGTATCAATGAACAATTTGTGTTTCAGACAATAGCACAGTTTAAACAAATGGCTGAAACTATTAATTGCATTAGATCAAGCCATCCTAGGTGTATATGCAGAAAAGAAATCATGAATGCTGTTTGTGGAAGGATTCTATGCAATCCTTTACATAAATAAGCAATTTTGTATCATGAAATAACTATATCTCCATGAATTATGTCATGTATTTTGAAGGATGAATTATATGTTGATGCATATAAAAGGTACACATGGCATTTAGTAACTGAGAAATTAAAGGAGGTATGGCAGGTTCAATCCCAGGCTTTTTTTAACCATGTATGGGGACAGCCAGTATTGTGACATCCTATTCACACATGAGGAAAAAAACACAGTGGAAGACTTGTGTATAGACAAACAAAACTTGTGTATACACACAGTCCCTTCAAGGAAGCAAGTGAGTAAGTTCTATGTGTGCAGCACAGACATCACCATGCTTCTGTCATGGTATAGTGGGGGGTTTTGTGGCAGGGAGCACTGGAGGTGTATTTTTGCAAAGGTGCAAAGACTTCTCCAGCTGTCTACCAGACAGTGTTGGAAAAGGTGATATCACATATCAATCTGAAGCTGTTTGAAGGGAAATTGTAGATTTTTCAGCTTGATAGTGCTCCTGCACACAAAGCAAAATCCATACAGCAGTGGTTGGCAACCCAATGTCCCACATTTCATTGCTACTGCTGACTGGCCTAGTGGAAGTCTACACCTCAATCCATTGGATTATTCTATGTGGCAGAAGATTGCATAGCATGTCAAGGGTGAAGGGATAGCATGTCAAAAACGGTACTGCAATATTGAGATATTAAAAAAAAAATCAGTCCCATCAACTGCCAAAAAGATTCCACTGGACACGATTCAAGCAGCTAGTCATAAGTGGTCTTAGCATCTTCATCGCTGTGTTGCCACACATGGCAATTATTTTGAATAAAAGTATGTTCATTCTGAGGCATTTTTCATGTTTTTTTAGAATATATTTATATTAACGGGTTTGTGTAGTTTTATTTAGTAGTTATATGCATTGAAATTAGTGACAGAATTTATGGAATACTGTGTGTGTGTATAATATATATAATAAAGTAACCGCTAGTGAGGTATGGCATTAGAATAATGGTTGGAATGCCACCTTGGTTACATCATGAAATCTGTGATTCAATAGACTTCCAGCTGTGCTAATGAGAGCATCATACTGCTATGTATCTGCTGATTATAACATTGAAAATGCAAAGTATGCAAAATGATAAGACTTTTTTGAGGAAAAAATCTATCAGCTGCAGATAGTCACTGCAAACTGTAAGCTTCATATGGCCGAACATTATAAGCGAAAATGCTGTGATTCAGTGGATCAGATTTTTCAAAGCAGGAGAGCAAATATTCACGATGCACCTAGGAATGGTATTCCTTCTGTAATGAGTGATGAACTCATAAAGGATATAAACGAAAAAGTTCACGAGAAGCGCAGATTCATAATCTTGGAACTTTTGAAAATTTTCCAATTTTCATCTGTTCATTTATTTGAAGATCTGGCTTTGGGGGCTAGTATTTTATTAACAATGATAATTATGTTTAAGTATGACAACGACAAGTTGTGTTTCACATAACTGTAGTTAATGAGAGCAAAAGGATAGGTAGCAGACAAGACTGGTAGCAGAGAGAATATAATGTATCCAAGATAGAATGATACAGCTTCAGTGCAGTTTTATTTTGATTAGTTAATGTCAAGTTTTAGTTCCCAAATTTTAAATCGTTATGTAAGCATTATGTAAGTATCTGCATTGGTGTTATGCAAGAATCATGTGACATAGATTAATTTTGAAATGGCACAGTTTAGAAAGATTTATTAATGTAATCAATTGCTCTTTTTAATGTGGAAAGGGGAAATAACCATATTTAAAAAAGAGAATTAAAATACTATTGCAAATTAAAGGTGAATTCTCTCTCTCTCTCTCTATATATATATATATTCACACAATCACCACAAAAGTTTTCACTTTTGAAATCTAGTTTCTATAAGTTTAAAAACATTTAACATATCAGATAACACATAAGAGAATAAAAATTATGGTACTTACAGGAGATGCATACTTTGAGGCATCTCACCAAACATTAAATACCAGTTATTTTTTCAAATATACCAAATCACACAGCATCATATCACCATATGAGTGAATTACACATTTTTATTTTTAATCAGGTTAAAACATTGCATGCATCTTTCTTTATTAAGCCAATACACAGATTACCATATATCAAATAATTTATAATATAGCTAATTATATAAATATCAAATAAAAACTACATACCTTTAGTTAACACAAACATATCTTTAATAGCAGAAGTGCTTATATTTTGCAGAGGTTTCCCACTAAGCCCACCTTGTTCATTTTTGTGTTTGCTTATTAGAGATTCAGGTCTATTTGTTGTCGTATTCGAAATAATTAAGCCATCTATAGCTTTCTGGAATGATTTGAAAAAATATCATTTTATTTAGTATTTACATTTATCTAGTATCATTTTATCTATTATAAATACAATAGTTATGAATACAGTTTATGTGTATATATATATAAATACAATAGTTATGAAAGCAGATATATATATATATATGAACCCACACACAAATAACTGTATTTAAGTAAAAATATAATTTTAATTGTTAATTCTATTTTGATAGTCATCTTAGCTTTATACAATCAAAAATATCTATTATAAGCAAATAAAAATTCTTTCTTACAGTTAAAAATTAGCAAAATACATGATCGCATATCTCAGATATAATCCTTTTACACTGAGTTTTTTTTTTTTTTTTTTTTTTATCAAACATATTTTCCTTTCCCATTATGCACATGGACAGATGCTTTCATAAATGACTTAAGAATTTGGAAAGGAAATTGACTCCTGTTTGCAGCATACATAAGGAAAACCACAAAAATTTCTGTGCAGCCAGCTCATTCACAACCACTGAAATCCAAACTTAACTACCAGAATTCAGTGGTCCTAACAAATTAGCACTGTTGGGCCTATCCATTATTAATCAGCTTTCTATCATCATATAAAATTTTCAAAAGAAAATAATTTATGACTTGTTCATTAGTTTTGTTACTCATGGGTAAAGAAAAATATGATATTTTATAAACCATGCAGATTAATATATGTTAACCACTCCACCTATGTTAGCATTTTTTCCCTTTAAGATCACTTCATTACAATTTATTTTTATCCTATAACTAAATATAAGTTCAAGACATATTTGAAAACTATATTTGATGAGAATATTATGAATATTAGCCTTTTGTACTCAAGAGGCAACTCTGAACAGTGATTTAACATCATATGAAAATCCAACTGATTAACGAGAGAGAATATTAACTTCAGTTATCTACTGTTACTGAAAATCACTAACAATTAGCAAATAAATTCAGAGGAAACATAAAATAAATTAAAGTGTGGATTTAAGTAGAACAGATGGAGAAAACCACATTTGTTTGCATTGCTATATTTGACTTTTTAAAATTATTTAATGCTACCAACCTTTATGTGATTTTTGTAAAAAGCCCTATCACAATCAGAAAAAAGCTGCCAAGATTTTAAATCAGCAGAAATATTTTCACAAATTATGCATAATCAGCTAGGTTACCAACTCCCTCCGACAGCTTGAGTTAGATGCCAAGCAAAAGTTCGTTATTGTTTACATTGGCAAAGGGCTGTTCATTTTATCCTCTTGTTTTCTTCTCAATGGCTTAAGCTACCAACAAAATCAAGTTAGAATCAACATTTTGGTTTCTGAGTAAATTATTGTATATGGGAATCTACCCTTCAAACTGGTTCTATCAGCATTAGTTTCTCAAACACTTTGTGAACTGCCTCTAGCATTGTCCAATAACATCACATTTCAGTGGTTAAAAAAAATTACAGTACTAATTTGGCAGAAATTTTATGATACTGTACATAATTACTTGTAAAAATTTGGTACATTGAAAGGAATGTATTGCTAATATGGACACATTTCATTATAATAAAATAATGTTTGAAAAAGTTAATAACATACCAAATTTTCCAAACTGTACCACTTGGGTACATGTAGAGAGAGCAATAATGCAGTCTCATCAAGTGAAAATATATTTTTACAAAGTTTTAGTGTTAAGTCAAACTAAATAATATAAAAATAGCTGGCATCATAATTTCTAGTGTTCTTAATTTCAGCATTAATAAAACTGATATATCTTGAATAAGAAAAAGCAGCAAAACATATAATTATTAGTATTAAAAAAGGTTCAACTTAATATAACTTATAATTTCACAATTGCTTCCTTTCTAGATTCTTTTTATTTGCAGAAGTCATTAAAAAAGAGTATATGCATAAAAATAAGCAAGACTTACTTTATTTTGTTAATTAACACATCTAAAAGAAATCAGATATTTTCAAATTTTTTTTAAATTATTTCAGGTAATTAATACATTATAAGAATCATAGCTAATATACTACATATAATGAATAAACACATTTTCTTACAAAACTAACACTTATATTTGAATTTTAATTTATGATGAGCATATATATGCAGAGAACATAATATGCAAACAGTGTTAAAAATCTATACACAGCATATCAAAATGCAAAATCTTTTATATTTCCTATTAACCAGGCCACAGAGAAGACAGATCAAAAGTCATATGTAATAGCAAAATTTGCAGAAAACTGCCAGGTAGCAAAACATAATATACAGTGGATGGACAAAAATATGGAAACACCTTGTGAAATGCATGTTTGAAAAGAAAGATTGATTTTAATGAAATATGTAGGTGGTGCTGGCGTTTTTGATTACTGACGCCACCTATACAACTTTGTAAATGTGCTAAACAGTTCAGTTGTTGTCGGAGTACTGTTATGTGAGGTTGTCATTGCATTATGTCAGAGTTAACAGACTTCGAACGTGGGCAAATTGTTGGAGCACGTATGGTAGGTGCTTCCGCAAGCAAGGTAGCCGAGGTGTTTAGTGTTTCAGAGGTACTGTATCGAAGAGATTTATTCCGCATATTTGAAAAGCGGAAAAAAACATTCATCTGCTAAATCACAGCCGCGGACGAAAGTGTGTCCTGAGTGATCGTGACAGACGATCATAAGGGCAATTGTGACGAAAAATAAGAAGACCACAGCTGCAAAAGTTACTGCTGAAATGAAATGTTGTGTTACCGAACCCTGTGAGTACCAAAACAATTAGAAGGGAGCTTCATAACAGGGAATTGCTGGCCGTGCTGCAATTGAGAAGCCACTCATCAGTGATGCTAATGCCGTAACAGGAAAAGGTGGTGTTTAAAGTCATAAAGCCTGGACTATAGAGCAGTGGAAGCGAGTTAATATGGTCTGACGAGTCTTCTTTCACATTGTTTCCCACTTCTGGCCGAGGTTTACGTCTGGAGAACGCCATCTCAAGCCTATAATACAGACTGCTTGTTGCCAAGAGTGAAACATGGCGGGGGTTCTGTTATGGTTTGGGCAGCCATATCGTGGTTCTCTGCTAGCCCCATGATGACTGTGTCAGGGCAACATGATTGCCAAGACTTATGTGAACATTTTGGCCGATCAAGTTCATCCCATGGTACAAACTTTGTTCCCCGATGGTGATGGTGTCTTCCAAGACAACAAAGCCCCTGTTCACACAGCTCACATTGTCCAGGGACTGGTTTTCTGAGCACGAGGATGAGTTTGTCCCATCTCCCCTGGCCACCACAGTCACCAGACCTGAATATTATCGAACCTTTGTGGTCTACATTGGAACGGGAAAGTGCGTTCTCGTTATCCACCGCCACATCGTTATCTGAAACTTGCCACCGTTTTGCAGGAAGAATGGTATAATATTCCCTTGGCAAACATACAGGAACTGTATTATTTATCCATTCCGAGAAGACTGCAAGCTGTTTTGGATGCCAACGGGTTTCCTACACCATATTGAGCAAAGAAACATGTTTTTTTAAAGGTGTTTCCATATTTTTGTCCAACCCCTGTATATATTACATTGTAACTCTGCACTACATTGTTCAGTAGCAAAAATTCAAAACTCTAATAATAGTAACTTCCTTTATTATCAAGGCCAATGCACTTAAAAAGAGAAATAAAAATGTTAAATATTTGTATCAAAATTATCTACAAACCCCTTTCCTCAGTACAACTTGAGCTATATCACTTTTCTCTTCATATGAAAGATCAGGTGATATTTTTAAGAGAACAGGGGGTTTCTTGAAATTTTTATCTCTTGCTTCAAGAACCTAAAATAACAAAAATTATATATTATACTAAATATAGAGATGAAATTTCAGATTAATAATAAATCTTAAAATGCAGTAGTTCAATTCATATATATTTACAGAAAATTTCACAAAACCACGTTATTTTTGATTCCTTAATTTGCACAATGAAATATGGATAGATCAGATTCTTTCAAATATTACTAAGTAATTATTACATATAAATGTTTATATCTGAAACATTAGAACATTACATTATGATACAGAATTTACACTTCTTCATTTATTTACCAACTTCTTTCACAGCAAGCTGTTAGCCCAGAAAAAAAAAATTAATAACAGCATTACTATTCGATTGCTTACTCAAAACAGCCATTTTCACAGGACATTTAATATCTGTAGAATTCTACAGCCATTTACAAGCAACTTTAGAAACTATGAAATATTTCTGCCTACAATTGCTTTGTATTTAAATAAAATCCCCCATAATAAACTGCACTCATGTAACTCTATTTTCTGTAATTATGCACAATGTAAGCTTTAAAAAAAAAAAGAAGAAGAATTCTCCATTCCCAAAAATGCAAACATATTCAGCAAACCTCAAATCAGATTAATCTTTATAGTTTATTTGCAAATAAATTGGATGAAATGACAATACAGAAAAAAAAAATCATTAAAAGTGATCATGTGCCCATCTACATTACTTTTTCTAGAAGACACCATTACCCATATTCTCAGTCTCTGTTTTCTAAAGCAAAATTTAACAATAACATAAGTTTTATCACTTGTCATCACATAACTTCTGTGAAGTCAGTCATCTCTTGGTGTGATTATTTACAACAGATTTGCCTCTTTGTCTATTAATACCTTTTCACAGTATTAGAAACAATGACATACACAGAACACTCAGGTTGTAATTAAGATGGCAGGAACTTAGACACAGAGTTCTTTTAGAAGCCTTCAGAAGTTACTTTCTTTATTTCCATCACAGAAAAAAAAAAAGGATTGTGAAGAATTATGAATTGATCTGTGGGTACTTTAGAACCTAAGGATCTAGGCCCAGGTCATGTAAGTCTAAATGGTAATCAAGCTCTGAGGACAATGGTATCACAGTATTTCTACCTCAGATATTATTGTTGGAGAAATATAATTTGACTGATATCAAGAAATTATCTAGTCTCTAAAATATCTTTCTTCAAAGGCACAAATCAACAACCAAATAGCCAGGCAGAAGAAATCTGCATATCACAACAGTGACACAAAATTTAAGTTTTATTCCTTAGTTATACACAGATTGATCTATATAATTTTCAGCTTTAAAAATGAGCTAATTGCAAGTTCTATTCGGTGGTTATATAACATGGGTAACACAAAATATTTCTGAATGCATTATACTATAATCAAATAATCCTATTTCAGTTACTAATTACAAAAAATAATACATATGGATGACAAGTAAGAATAAATAATTTGCCATTACACATTTTAAAGCATATATTGACACTTAAAAAAGAAACTCAATTTTTTTTAATATTTATTAAGTGCATATTTAAAAGGAAAAAAAAAACCTTATCAAGAAGATTTTCAAGCTCTTGTTTTTTCTGCAAGTTCCTTAATCCAGGGGTATTTGGGCTAGATACATTAATGGTAAAATAATCTGCTATTAAAGCAAATTCATTTATTCCTTTTACATAATCCTCTGCAGCAGATTCACTTTCTTTGTTTTTCCCAAGATTTACACCTATGATACCATTTTTATCACAGACTTCCAGTCGCTGTTTTACATATTTGTGCCCTTTGCTGTTAAAACCACACCTGAAACAGAGAGGAGTAGAAAAATTTATTGTGTAAAAATAAAATGCCAAGCAGTGTACTAAAAATATTCTTTAAAAGCATAAGCATTTCATTCAGTTTAAAATTTCTACTTCAAGATGATACTAAAAATACAGGAATGAATTATACAGAATCATTAAATCTCCTTTTATTAGCATAAATATAAAATTTTTAATAATAAATTAGAGAAATAATTTACTACCTAATAATAAGTATTTCAATTCAAATTACATACATTTTCAGTTATTTAGAGATACGAAAATTAAATTTCTGAAATATATTTCCACTTTGGATAGCCAGAATTTTAACATGCAGAATTTCAAACACATAAAAATTGAGTTTTAATTTACTATAAAAATATTTATGTAATAAAAAAATGGAGAGTGCATTAATGAGAAATTTTTTATACCTGCAAACTGACACAGATTCTCATGAAGATTGATTACTGAATTCAAAAGTTTTTATCAAATCTACTTTTAGAATAATCAATCAATTATCAAACACTTCATAAGAAATTTGGGTGGAATTTGTTACACACCAAATACAGTAAAGATAAATTAAAATATCATGCTAAAATGTTTTTAAAAATAAAAATTATGAAAAACTACCATCTATTAAAACTTTAAATTCCAAGCCTATTTGCTTGGTCTATAAGGCTGATCCACAGGGACTAATGCACCATTTAACTAAATATGCATTTATAGCTGCTGCAGTTAACAATAATACATACACTCTAACACACAAAGAAGGAGTTAATGGATTGTAGCAAAATAATACATGCAAAAATGTTTTCATCCAAATGCAAATATCTTAATTTTGGTAGTCAATCAAGGTATATTTGAAACTATAAAGCACTGTAACTGAGAGCTCAAATGTTGCATAAAGGAAAAAAAATTCCTGTACTAGAGCACAACTTTCATTCAAATTTGATCTCATCTACCCACTTGGATTGCACCAGTACCTTACAAACAGGTTCAAGCACAATATGAGCATAATTCTCCATTTGATGGAAGATGTGCAACAAGCTTAAAAGAAGCAAAGTGGTCAAATTGACAGATCACTTAACATTTGGATCAAAGTAATGCCATCATTTGGGCCATGATGGCAGGAATGGCTAATACATAGCAAAGTTTAGAACTGATTACAGCACTTGATGTAGGTAGACAACATAACATGAGGATAAAATCATGATGTTTTGATTATCTGCACATACACTAAAATATCTTAAAACTCTTGGGAACATTAGTGAGGAATATTTGGGCATTCTTATATCTATCTGAACTACTTATCAAGTGCCACCTATTTTTTTGCATTCTTTTTCCATAGAAGATATATATACTTTTCAGATGTACATAAATCGATAACTGTGTTTTGGTAAAATCTCATTCTCCACAGAATTTCACTGATGTACACTCCTTTGTCCAACAATAAATAAAGAGAACAGCTGTTGCAAATGAGATATAGTTATTATCAAACCATTTTCCAACTTGCATTCTAATAACGCTTTGCTTGCAATTCCCTCCGCCAATTAGATTTCCATTAAATTTGGCTATTTAAGAAACATAATCTCACAGAATGTAAATTTTTGCATTCACTATCATTGGCAAAATGGCATATTTCTGAAGAAATGGAATGCTTTTTTTCCATCAGCTGGTAAACTTTGCAGTCCAATTATGATCCATTAAAACAAATATACTCACTGCAAAAAGAAATAGTAATCAGAAAAAAAAAAAATTGAATTTTAAATGTGCAAATCCATATGTACTCACATACACATGTGCTATGCATGGACGTGGGGAACATTTCGGTGAACGTGGTGCCGTCATCAATACTTTTCAGTAGGACGCAAATAATCAGAAAGTACTGCAATTATACTCAAAAGGGCTAGTGCAGCAACATTTATTTCCACACAGCTAGAGCTAATAGTAGAGGTGGTGCAACTGGACAGCAAGATTTATGGACAGCAGAATTCAGGAGTCCCAAAGTTTGCAGCAGGTGGCAAAAAGGTCTAGCACTGGCCGTGTCCATATCAGTGCAGGATTTATGTATAAGCTACACAAGCTATAGCTTAGGGCCCCTGCTCTCTTGGGATGGGGGCAAAAAAAAACCTCAAGGTATCTAAAAATTATATTTGTCACTGACATATAATATCTGGACTTATAAATGGCCCCATATCTTGAATAGCTTAGTCTAAATCTGGCCCTGGTCCCCAGCATTGATTTATCTTCAGCAGCAATTAAGTGTAACTTGGACACCACTGTCAGCAAGAATCATATAGCACAGTAGTACATCGGCAATATTCAATGTCTTACGCTTCTTGCCCTTCTTTTTGTGGTACATCAGGTTTACATTTCAACAAGATAATGTCTGACTGCATGTGGCAATCACTTCTACTGATTATCTTCATGCTTCTCAAACACCTGCCTGGCCAGTTCTCACCCAAAACAACATGTTTGGGGCTTGCAGTTCTGTGAAAATATGTTCAGCGAAATTTCTTGATGTGTTGGAATTCCACTGGTAAATATCATTGTCACATTATTGCAGTAAAATTCTGAAATGTTATGTCATCCAAAAAGTTCTGTGATTTTTCAAAGTGCAACATGTTTTTTCTTGCTAGTTATTTTGTTACTGCTGATAAGGAGTACCCTTGATCATGGCAAATATTTAAACACAGCCTTTTCTCTTCATACTGCAAAATTCTAGCATATGTCATAATGAATTTTTTTTTCAAAGGAATACTATTAAGATCGGAGAATTCGAAAGTTCTCTTTAGTCATACTATTATATTTTTTATTTTAAAAAATGAAAAATGCAAGTCAAACTCATAAAATTTATGTTGTATATGGACAAAGTGTTATTTTTGATGATGCAGTTCAAAGCAGAGTAGTTTAATTGTGGAAATTTCAGTCTCAATGATGATGCCCATTCTGGATGACCATCCTAAATAAACAAGAACATATTAAAAAAAAAAAAAAGCTATCACTGAAAATCCACATTATACAATTCAGGAAATATCGGAGAGAATAAATATTCCAAAAAATATAACATATGATAAATTTGAAGAAGAGAGGGTACGCAAGCCACCGCGATGTATGGATAACCCCATACTTTCACACAGCAGTATTTGCTTGCTCAAATTTTGGCAAATGATTCTTTGCTGAAAAGAAAAACAAAAGTTCTTTTTTTTTAAACAGTTCATTACTGGAGATAAGAAGTGAATTCTGTACAACAGCATTACAAGAAAAAGGTCATGGGGTAAGCCAAAAAATCCTCCTGTCCTAACAAGGAGAAGAGCATTTCACTGAGAAGGAAGCTGCATTTCAAAATATAATGCTTTGTGTATGGTAGGATTCCAAAGGAATTGTACATTATTAATTGTTGCCATCAAAACAGACAATGAATTTAAAAAAATCCTGTTCTTAAAGTTCTTAAATCCTGTTCTTAAGCATCTAAGTCTATTTCAAAACAGAAATTGAAGCAGAGTACCCAAAATACACCAATCATTGAGGTGTTGTCTTCCATCATGACAATTTCCAGCCCCACATTTCTATGAATGTCAGACAAAGTATAGCTGGGATGCTTTGTGCCACATCATGCATTCACTAGACCTTGCCTCCTTGGATTTTCATTTCTTCAGAGCACTTCAAAATTTTCTGAACGGTTTGGAGTTTACTTCTTTCAACACCCTCAAAACAGCACTTTGTGAATAGACCTTAATGAATTCTCTAGCTGCCAGAGAGATGGCAAAAAGAACACAGAATTCTACTAAATTTTCTTATGTCTTTGGACTACTTTGCATATACTTATCACTAAAAATCCACAGAACATTCCAAATGTCCCTATATATAACACCAATATCCAAAGGATGCCCCAAAAGAACAATACGCTTGCTCCTCTTGGCTATATCCAAATCTCTGATGCCATTTTGTATATCAGATTTATTGCATCTAACTCTATTTTCCTCTCAGCATCAGAAAAATAAAATAATAATAATAATAATAAAAACCTATTAACAAGGGCTTGATCTTCATGCAGGCGAAATACCCTTGGTTTTGGATTACCACTTTGAGGAAGTGGTGTCACGGTTCCAACTTCCAAAAAGCCTATACCCATTTTGAATAGTCCTGATGGGGCTTCACCATCTTTGTCTAATCCAGCAGCAATACCAATAGGATTTGAAAATTCCAAGTCCCATAACTTAGTTTTCTAGATAAATAATTAAAGCAATAATCAGATTTTATGTTACATAAAATTAATAAGATCTTATGATGAAACATTTTCATAATTATATTTCATTAACAATATTTCATGATTACATATTTTAATTCCACTTATTTCCAACAAACAATGAGCACAAATAACTGATTAAGTATATATATACACGCATAATACATCTAGGGCAAAGATACTTTTTATGCTTAAAAAACTATGTTACACAAAGTAATACAGAAAATATCATCACAGGAGTTAACAAATATAGACACAATGACAGTCAATGAAGAGTGTTTTTAAAAATGTACAAGATAATTAAAAAAATCTGGGAAACATTTTTCTATTTTGTAAACAACTAGCTAATAAGCTAAATACCGGGTATGCATGATAGCTTGAAAGAACTGCCTTTAGAGTGTATGAGCATCATGGCTGTAATTTTGAAGATATCTACTGTAAATATTGCTTAAAATTTCAAACAGGAATGGGAACAAGTAGCACAAAAGATTAAACTAGAAATTATTTAAGGCTACAATTAGTATCTTTATTTATTGCAGAGTTAATGGTTAATAAAGACAATGTAATGGACTGCCACTAACCAATTATTTTTATATTCCCAATGACCTATCATGTCACTGAAAACCTAGCAAACTAGGATGATCTTTATGAGTACTGGAAAATGCTCTTATGATGATTTGTGAGCCAGCAGCAGTTTTTATGGTATGCATCAGTGATGAATTTAAATCACATCAGTATTTATGGTTTTATTAGTTAATTTCATTATTCACAGATTTACCACTGAACATAATTTTCCATGGGAACATGGGATACGCTCTGCCCAACTTAGGTTTCCTACCAAGCACATTTGCAAACTGTAGTTATGTGTTAGGATTATCTTCAATTAATGTTTGCATCAGTTGAACCTCACTGGCTAATACCAGTTCCCAAAAATATCCAAAGCATACTACATTCAGGATTCTTCATAGAAGTGACTTCATTTCTTGTTTATCCAAGTAATTTCTCTCATGTATTGATTAAAATTTACTGAATGTTTTTTAATTGTGTATTGATCTAGATTCCTTGAACGTTTTTTTGACTGAATATTATTTTGGCTCAAGAATTATGAATGAATTAGTTCTTTTGGGATAAAGATCATTACACTCATCAACAGTAACCCACAAAAAAAATTATTATGAATACTCATTACAAGAATCTCAATTTATTCCTGAATTATCAGGTCAATCAGCAGCCAAGTGGTAAAACCATTAAACGAGGATGAATTTCCCAACGGGAACAGCATTCAATTCCCTGGAGGTCAGTGATGATCAAGGGGTTGACAGCCAAATATGCATGTGCAAAATTTACTAATTGCTTAATTTACTAATTAAAGTTTCAAAATTTACTAATTAAAGTTATACTGTATAGTAAGGAGAAAAATTTGAAAAAAAATAACACAAAAATGACGTAATGTATTTTAAAAATCAACAAGATTTTTTTTATATATATAATTTTTTATGCAATAGATACAGCATAAAAAAGTAAAATGCAGGAACACATTTTGCTTCTTCACCTAGAAGTAAGCTGACTCACCAAGTTTGTAGTATTTTATGGATACTTTAAATACCATGATAGAATTTTTGCTTCAAGCTAACAATCCTATGGTGCCACAATTAATAAAATTCCAAAAACGTATATTCTACTTGGCTGATATATATTCATTGTTCAATGCCACACAAAACAAACTGCAAGTGATATTGGTCTCACTGAAGCTACGAAGCTTACCTTAGGTTTTTGTTCTAAAACTGATTTCTTTACATTGACACTGAATCAAGAGGAATTCCATTACTTTGATAATTTAATGTGACTGTCTGTTACTGAAAAGGATTGCATTTCCTCAGAAGATATACTGTTATATTCAAGCTACTTGCACAATTTAAAAGGAAATTTTAATGTTTGCTTCCAAGACACTGGATAATTTAAATGTGCCAGCATGACTCATAGAACCACCAAACTATGATGTATCTGATCTTGATATTATGATGCAAGAAGAATTTGTTGCACTGATGGAGGATATTACAGCACAAAGAACATTAGCACTTATTCAAAACACATGAATGCACTAAGCTTTCAAGTTTAAAAGTCATCTGAGGGGAGGACAAATAAGAGTTTTTACCAAATCATCATCTTCTTTTCTGCAAAAAGTAAGAAACGTATTGAATATTTTTGAATGAGGTGATTTAAGAATTAAGCTAGCAATTTTATGCCAAATATAAAAAAACTGCATATGTACATTAAATGCAGTTTTTACATGAATTAAAATTGAACTTTTATGCAATTAGAATTTGTGATTTTGTTTCAGAAAAATTGTTTACATTTTCAAAATTAAAAACAATAATAATACAGTAATAATAAAACATTAATTAAACAAACCATTTTTTTAAAACTTTAATTCACATTTTTAGTTTAATTGTTATCTTTAAATTATTTATGTGAAATAATTTGCATTATGATTATTTTGCACGCTGTATATTACAGAGAAAAGTCAATGAAGAAAAACATTCTTTTAAAAGGAGTGAATGCCAGAAAAGGATTGGGAATCCCAGCATTAATAGTTTGATCTAGGTTCAAATCTCAGCGAACAAGTTGGCTACATGGAAGTTTTTAAGGATTTCACCATGATTAATGTGAATATAAGCCATTTCCTTCGAAAAGTCATTAACAAAAGCCTCCTATTCCTTAGGCAGATATTCCTCATGTGCTGTGCCATAACCAAAATAATCCTAATACTGAACCATCAAAGATCACAAAGAATGAATAAATAGAAGGTTATTTATCTCTTAAAGCTAAGCTACTCTCTAAGAAAATTGGTCCAGCGTAACTACTGGTACTATTGCATTACCTGCCCAACTCTGGCAAGAATCACCAGGCAAAGTACTATGTTGCCAAATTAGGCAATGCAGAATTTTACAAAAATGCATTTATCTGACAACCTACGAATGGTTGTGTACACCAGTCCATAATGTAACCATTTTTCTTGGTGGTAGTGGTAATACATGTGATTTTGGAATTTGAGGGTCATGTTTGTAGTTTCTGTTTGTCGTGATTAGCACGCAAAATTATTTTTTTTTCTTGTAACAAATCATAATGCCTTTGTGGAGTTTGCCTGATAATAAAAAAGAAAGTGTTGCATTCCCTTCACCACCAACCCGAATAATAAATACGTATGGCATTTTACCTAGTAGCAGATATTGTAAGAATGCACATTCTATGTAAATTTGCACAGTTATCTGATTTTTTTTAAAATTAAACCAGTAGAAATTTGCTCTGCAATGTCAAGAATTTCATTAATCTCTCTTTTTTTTCTGAGTTAAAACAGATCATTGTGCACATGGACAGATGACCAGGAAAAAAGAAAATACGTATCTCATTATGGATGTTAAATTTTTGTTCAGTCAATCTGTTGCTTTTGAGTGTTTTGGTATGAATGATTGTTTTATGCAAGATTTAGTGTTCTATTATGAATATTTCTTGCATTTTTAATTTTGTTAATTTTTTGCTGTTTTATGTAATTTGCAGCACTCTTCCACTTTTTAAAGGGGCTACTGGTTTTCACATGTTAGGGTGGCAAAAAATTAGTCACCAATGATTGCCAACTTTGCCGGAGGCTTGAGTAGATAATGCAAGAGTACCATCTATTTAATGGAAGATAATTAAAATTTGAATATTTCTGGATTTAAAAACATCTACTGTTTAATTTTTTAGAGAAAAATTTAGTAATTTAAAAATCTTAACATATAAAAAAATGCTAACCAAGTGCTCAAGCAACATACATTGAGATTTATTACGAAGCACAAATTTTAAGGTCACCTGAATCAAATCCAAGCGTGAGCAAGCAGTCAGTTAACATTGCCCGAGTGTTATTCATTATAAGGGCTTAAGGCTTAACAAACCATTTACAACAACTTCAAAAATTACAATCTCATAAATAAAGATATTAAAAAATTACAGATGACATTTACACATTTTTGGAACATGATTTCAGAGGTGTTTAGTTAATGTTTAAAATGTAAAGAGTTTTTTTTTTTTTTTTTTTAAATGTTCGATCTGATGGCTTTTTATTTATTTATTTTGGACAATGAGTCTGCATTGTGGTTTCCATAAGAGAAAGAATTTTCATAAAATATCCTGAGGTATTGTTTTTCATTCTTTTTGCACTACTTTCCAGAGTCTATTCATCAAGGTGGGTTTGCATTTAGAAAGATCTCTTTTCAAGTGACCAAAGCCACTATAGCCCTTGAGCAATTCAGTTTTTGGTGTTAATTCAAAACCAACTGCCGGTATTTTCTCTAAATAGGCATCCTTTTGTACCTAACCTTAAATTCCAGGGTACAGTAATTCAAACAGCAAAAAGTACAAAGTATTTAGGTTGCATTCTGAATTGGAACAGACATGTTGATTAGGTATGTGGAAAAACTGTTAAAAGACCTTCTGTTCTTAAAAGGTTGGCTGGCTGCAAATGGGGTTGAAGCTGAGACAATTGAATACCACGTTCTAGTTTTTCATTCAGCTAATCTTCAGTTATTGTAACGAAGTTCTGGTCTCTGCTGCTACTAGTACTATTCAAAAACTTGAAACTGTTCCAAACCAAGTTCTCCATATTACAGTACAAAGTCTTTAATCCGGACTCGTCAGGACTTCGGCGATTCCGGATTAGGTTTTTTCCGGATTATAGATCATGAATTTAAATCTGGTAAGATGGCATGCAGAAATTATAAAATTAAAAATATGAAAACGTAATTTATAAATAAAGGCAATATGATCTAAAGGGTATCAAAATTTACAAAAAAAAAAAAAAAAAAAAAAAAAAGCTTAATATTTATTGTTTACTTTATTTAAACATTTCTTTCAATTAAGACACAATAACACGCCGAATAAATACTAATTCAGAAGTCAAACAACAAAAAAAAATCAGCGTTAATTTTTACAAAATTTTCACA